GCACATATTCAAACAGCTTTCTCCTTAGGGGCCTTCCCAATTTGGAACACTGCAGACAAGTTATAGCGCAAGCAAAAAGCCTCAGTCTTACAAGGCTCAGGAACCAAGAGGTCAGAATTCGGAGTTGTTAGAGCAGCTAGAATTGCAAGGGAAATCCTGGAAAGTAGAGAGCCAGAGAAGGAAGAGAGCCAAAATTATACACAACAGCCCCTCAAATCCTTGCCTGAACTGCAAACTGCAGAGGGAAAAACAAGAAGAAACCCACCGGGGAGCCACAGCTGAAAGGCTAAAAGAGCTGCAAGGGGATTTCAGCAACTTTCTGATGGATAGGACGCAGAGTTTGGAGTTTGTCTCATTATATTATAGGATTTTGGCCAACATCTTGGACTTTGCCTAGCAAGTCCACACCTTAGAAATAAGAACCACAAACCAGACTAAGGACTATGCCTTAGGACTATGGAGGAATCAAAATAGAACTGCTCTAATATATCTTCCATAGGTTGTAGGCGATCTTTCAGTAATTTAATTGTCTGCTAATATAAAATGCAACATTCTTCCAAATTCAGAGTTTCTAAAATGTATTAAACACAGTCTAGTACACAAGAAAAATTCATAGATATATAAAACACGCAGAATGTGATCCATAATCAAAAGAAAAAACAGAAATATAAGTAGACCCACAGAAGACTAAGTTGTTGGAATTATCAGACTTTAAAATAAATCCTATAAATATATTAAAGAATTTACAGGATTATATATATACATATACATACATATAATGTATGTATATACATATACATACATATATACATATACATATAATGTATACATATAATGTATGTATATACATATACATACATATATACATATACATATAATGTATACATATAATGTATGTATATACATATAATGTATATGTATTGTAATATATACATATAATGTATGTATATGTATATATATAATCCTGTAAATTCTTTAATATATTTAGATTTATACACATATATATGTTTATACATACACAGATATAATAAAAGAAGGGAAATTTCAGGAAGGACATAAAAACTTCTAAGAAAACCAAATGTAAACCTTAAAATGAACAACATCTTTCATAAGACAATTCATATTATGGTTTTCACGGAAAATTGGACACTGTAGAAGAAAATATCAGTCACCTTGAAGACAGATGATTAAAAATAATCAAAACTGAGGAAAAGAAAAAAAGATTAAAAAGTAAACAGAGACTCAATAAGCTATGGAACAATGTCAAGAGGTCTTTATACATGTAACTGCAGTCCAAAAAAGAGAGAAGTAAGAGAATGGGGTAGAGAATTAGAAGAAATATTGACCAAAAAATCCCCCTAAATAGTTGAAATCCTGAGAAACTTTAATTATGAAATCATGCTTCTTTTATTTTACACCTCTCAACAGCATCATTTTAGTTTAGTCTCAACGATTTATTTCTATTCACTTTTCTTTGGAGACTTGTGGTCATGAGGATGAATGAAAATATAGTAGATATGATATTTTCTATTTTAAAAAGTGAAAGGGGTGATAACATTACATTTTACTAAGCAAAGAATTAACCTTTGAGAAGTCGGAGAGAGGAATCTGGTTGATATAAGACTAAAACAAGAATGAAAGATCAAAAAAAAAGAAAACTCTGATTGGATCTTTACAGTTCAAATTGTGATGAGAATAGTTAATAGGAGATCAAGTAATAAGCAAATTAGTAAATAACTTCTGTCATGCTAAAAAGGAAGATTTTTCCCTTAAGATCTATGAAACTTTAACTAAATAGTAGTAAAAGAATATATGAAAATAAAAAATTATACATCAAAATACACTTTCAAAAACAATCTCTTTATGTTTCAGGAAAGTAATGAATATAAGGTTTCTCATCAATGAATCAAAAATAAAATTATGTTAATATGTGAGACACTTCGCCATCTAAAAAACCAATCTCACTTCTGTACTGGTGCATTTTAATTATGGTGAACCCATAGCACCTGTCTTGCTTATACATTTTAAAAAATGTTTAATCAATCACTCTTTGAAATAGGCACTGCTCCTCACATCATTTGGTAATGTCAAAATAACATTTGGGGTGGGAGAGGGTAAGAGTAGCCTGAAGTTAAAGTGTTATAGGAAATATTACTTCCTCATTAAAATTTTAATTTCTCATAGCCTAATTTCTTTCAGACTTTTGAGCAATAAGCATGTGGCCCTTTCTATAGATGTTTTAATAAATAGAACCTTCTTATTTTGCATGCAGAAATACTGGTATAAGAAGAAGTCATCTACTTCAAATATTTTTACCAATCTCTTTATTTGGGAAACCATTCAAAGCTTATAATCAAAGTTGTCTGGACTCCCATCTCAAAAAGACTTTTTAAAGATATTTAAGTTAACTACAAGATATACGAAATTAATTTTAGAATGGTTTTAACATATTTCCTTATATGTTTAAAATTATAAATTACTAATGTCCATGTAAATGAGGTACTGCTTTAAATCATTTGAACCTACAAATTTAAAATAGGAAATCATGAGTGGAGAGAACAGAATTCCAATGATATCATTTATTCACTTTAAATATCAGTAAATATCCATGTATATTCAATAAGCTCATAGCATCAGAATGATGTTCACAACCTCAGAGACTGAATTACCAAAACACCTTATTATGTGGATGTAGAGAATAAATGAGACATTACATTTTTTGATGATAACTGTTCATGTGTAAGTTCCATCAAATATATTAATGATCACGACCTTTGACAATATAAAACATACTTATAAATAAATGTCTATTTACCCTCTCCATGGAGAAAAACCCTAAAGGAGGTCATTCTTGTCATAAATAAATTTTTTAAATAATTAATACATTTATTTATACATACCCTAATTTGAACCTACCACTAGCAATATATCCTTAGCCAGTGGTAATGTCTGTAACTTTCTGACTATTCTTAAATGTTATTTCTTAATCTTTGTTTCTTTTATGCATATGTAAGTGTTTTTACTTATCTTCAGGCTTACACATTGCTAATAAATTATGATAACATTTTAGGTACAAAACACCAATTTTAGCCATATGTAAAAATATTGAAAATTAATTGTATTAGAGGTTAGTTGGTAGGTAGTGAGAAGACATGATACAACATGGAGCCATTATATTACCCATGGGTAAATTTAATATTGTAAATGATTAAGTAACAGAAGAGCCATTTGGGGGATGGGAAAATACTAAAAATCACAAAATTGATTAAATTAAATTGATTGCATGAAAATCCATGATACATACAGCTAACTAGAAAGTACTCTATTCTAATTGTTCCTCACAGATACTATTCTTAATTAGCTAGGGAGAAAAAATGTAATGAAAATTATTGGTAGATTTAAGAGTTTCAGATATTGAGAACTGTCAAACCTACTCCTATTGCAATAACAACTGGAGTAAATGGAGAAAAGGCCAATCCTGTAAGAAAGGGCAATGGTGGCTAGCATTAGTTTAGTTTATAAACTTAAACTATAATAATTAGTACACAATGAATTATATTAGTAACCTTCATGTAGTAACCCATCATCTTACATTGTGATTTAGAGGGAATGTACTGAGTAGATTACAGTGGCCTGAAAGAGCACTCTAAAATGAATCTACATAAAATTCATGGTAATGCAATTATTACAACATAGGTTGTTGTAATGGCAATTCCAAGTAAGGGTGAGTGGGTGTTTACTCTGTGGGGAGGCCAAAAAAGTGAGTGCTGTAAAATTAGTGTTCAATTAATACCATCCAAGTGTAAGAGACTGTATCTAATAGAAATCAAGTTCCAGTCATTAGGGAGAGAATATTTTAAAAAGGAGTGAAGATAATTCTCTAGGCCTTCCTATGACTAAATGTCCCATAGGACCAATCCTTTGCTCTTATTCTGTATTCATCAAACAGCCGTCTGATATATAATTTAGTTCTCTATTCAGCAGGAAAGGTATGATCCACATAGATAACAAGTGTTTGTTATGTTGCCAAATATACTTCCCATGATTGATAAATGACATGGTATTTGTGCTTATAAATTTACACTTCTGAAATTTGGGTAATGTCTATCAGTTTTCCATTACGTGACAAAAATGTTGCTAAACCTGGAACATGCTAACTCCATGAAGATAAAATTAGCCCATGAATACTATCCAAAGCAGCAAGCAGACACCTCACCTTTCAATAAAAGATTCATCGGGAAAACAAACTTGAGTTGTAGGAGGAACAAGCCAACAATGCCACTTTTCAATCTGGAAATCATTTTTGAGTTTTCTTTAAGATTCTCTGAATTGATCTAATTCTATTTTATAGTTTGGACTATGTATAATTCAGAGTAAAATGCAAACACTAATAATAACATTAACAACAACAACAACAAAACAACAAAAATAACATCGGTTTATACTCCTGAGATTATTTAACTCTTATAACCACCCTATAACGTAGGTATTATTATTTCCAGTTTCTAAATGGAGAAAGTGAAGCATAGAGAAATGACCTACCTCAAGTCATATAGCTCTTAAGTGAGAGAATCAAAATTTAAACTCAGGTTTGTCTGAGGAATGTTTATGGTCATGGTTTTAAGCACTTTGCTATCCTTGCTATCGTACATATTCATAAAGTACTTGGCATAATGAAGGTAGAAATCATAATTTCAGATATTTACAGCTACATGACCAAATTCTACTACATTAGCTATCTCATGCCTATATTGAAGATTCTAAGAGCTAAAATTAAAACAAAACTGTGCTTCATTTGGGGTCATACTGTGATGAGTGAATGCCATGGGTATAACCTCATTTTAGTGTATCAAACAATTTAAAAGCTTCAATAACACCTATGAAAACACCTATGAAGATACTCTTATGAGTATTAACATAATAGTATCTTCAAATTCTATGTCATATATATCATTCAAGATAATTCAATAAAGATGTGAGAAATTTTACTGAAAACTTACTTTGCAACCTGCGTGTTGGGCTCTCGCCATGGAGCTGTCGCCGTGGCATATATGGAGAAGGGTGGGGAAGTGGTAACGAAGAGACATCATGGGTCTGAAGTTTGTACCAATGTGGCTCATCATCTAATAATGCTGTTTCTAATTCAATTAAAATCTACAAAGCCAAGAGACAAAGGACTATTATATACCAATAATATAGAATTCTCTTAAATGGTCTCATAACTTTTATAATAATGATATTTGTAATAGTAATGCTGTTAGGTCAAAAGCAAGGTCATGCTGCAAAATTGTCCATATATTTTAACAATAATTAAATAAAAGATAAATAAACTTATTACTGATTTAATAGTTTCAAATATCTAAGACATTTATTTTGTAGACCCTTGACCACCCACCTACTAGAGGCTGTTAAATTTGCCATTATCGAAATAACACTTATTACTAAAAATCTGTAATAGTAACTAATATATATATAATTTTATAATTTAAAAAGCATTTTCACTCATATTCATTGATTTAACCTTTACAAAAACTCTTAAATGGGGAGAGAAAAACAAATTAGAAGTGCCTACTGTGTGTTAAGAACTATGTAATATGTTATCTTAATTCTCACAAAAAAACTACTAGTTTGATTTTATTATTCAACTTTTACAGATAAGGATACCAAGTCTAAAACAAAGTCTGTCTTGCTTAAATCTCTGTGTTCAACATATCAGGCTGCTAAGGATTCAAAAAAGAAAGAAACAAAAAGAATGGATTTTTAATATGAACCATATGATAATACGGATTTTATAATATGAATATTTAATAAACATACAAAGGAAATCAGTCCATAGAAATAAAAGACTCTTTTTATTTTCTTTTAGGGTCATGTGCAAATATGACAGTGTTTGTGTTTATGTGTATGAGAAGGGCTATATACCAATAAATCACTGTTTAGCTATGGGAGGTAAAGAAACAGAACAGCTAAGCTATTCTTTCATTCTTCCTAGATTTGCCCCAGTCATTTTCAAAATTACAGACACTGTGTTCCAAATGTTTACATATACACATACACACATATTTAATTCTCATATTAGCCCTGAGTTGCATACTACTATTATTCCCACTTAGTTGAAGAGGAAACTTAAGCACAAAGAGAATAAACAGCTTGCTCAAGGACACAAAGCTAGGAAGTGGTAGTGTCAGGAATGCAGACTTAGGCAGCTGGTGCCAGTCTCTGCTTTTAACAACTATGTTACCCTTCTACCCAACTGGTTTACCATTCTTTGGTTCCTTATCTAACAACACTCAGTTCAATATTTCTATGGATTGTTGTTTTTCCCAGGAGATTACCACTTAATTTACGCAGGAAAACCAACCACACTTAAAAAAGGTGAAAGAAACTAACTTAGTGCATTAATAGCTGGAGAACTGCCTCTCATCTTGCCCCTCTCCAACTTATTCTCCACATCACAGCTGGAAATACTTTTCTCAAGTACAAATGCAATAAAGCCATTCTCTTTTTAAAATCTATCATTTGTTCCCATTATCCACAGGATAAAATCCAAACTTCTTAATATGATATATTAAGGGACATGATCTGGTATCAGTTTAACCATCAAGTCTCACTTCTTACCACTTTCCCTTCCAATTTCAAAGCTCCAAGACCCCCTCAACTCTAGTATCGTGTTATCCCCTCTGCAGGAAATTCACTCTCCTTGACTTCGTTAAATTCTACTTTTTCTGTGGAGCCTTCCCTGGACCACTTCCCCTCCCCTGCACAGCATGTGTGTGTATTCCTATTGCATTTTCCCTGTAACAACAAACGCCATACTATGTTATAATTGCCTATTCACTTGTGTATATCTCCAATGGATTATAAATTCCTTGAAAGAAGTAATATGCCTTATTCACCTTTGAAGCCTCAGTCCCTAGCATATTACAGGTACATTACAGGGCTTAAAAAATAATCCATGAATAAATGATTGAACTACTAGTGGTACAGTTGGTTCAGTAAAATAAAATGACATATACACACTATAAAACACAGCAACATATTTATGAAATACAAACCAACCTTTTATCATTCAACGTTGAGATTTCTATAGGAATAAAGATGTAAAACTTGTCATAGAGTATTCAGAACCATTGTTTTTAATGGCATCAAAATTTTATCTTAAAGCAGTAGCTAAGTTCATTCTGTTAAAGAAATTATGTTTACTTTTTCAGATATTCAAACTATAAAATTTTACTGATAGTCACATAAACAAAAGTATTCACGGTGATATGAATAGTCCAAGTTTTAAAATAATTCCAGATACCTCTCCTAAGAATTCACTTTCTTCCTCTCGAACGCGAGCTTGATCCCATAGGGTAATCTCCAGCATTCGTTCCCGAAATTCTCTTCGGTGCACTGGAGAATAAATGAATGTTTGGTTCCATTTGGGTTCCAACGTTTTCTTTACTGTTTTAGTTCTTCTCTTGTTTTTATCACTATGAAAAAAAATAAGAATATATGAACTTACATAAGCCTTTTTTTAAGTTTTGCCCTAAAAATTATTAATTTAAAATTTCTCAGGAAAGAAGTGAAGTTTTACCACAAATTTATTATACATTACAAATATTATAATCTTTAGAATTATTATTAAAACTTATAAGGTATATAATTATATCACTTTATAAGTATGACTTAATAATAGCAGTATTTCAACAAATCTGAAATTTTTCCATGATAGGTAATTAAAAACTGACATCTTTCTCAAAATCTAAATATAACCAGACTGAAGAATCTTAACTCTAAAATTTGTTTAACATATTGCCCTATTGGAAACCTTCAAAATGGCAATTATTCTAGCCCACTATAATGTGGGCTAGAAATGCAAGCTGGCCATCCTGATAGATAGGACTTCCAACTCAGAGGCTTCCATACTTTTTTGACTGCGTATCTCTATCAAATGAATGTTTTTGACTTTGCATCCCATTATATGCATATATATTTATGGATCATATACATGTATTACTATACTGCTGTACTAATATATTGTGTACATTGGTAAATATTCAAAAATAGAAATTAAAAGTTAAATAAAAATTCAAATATTTTGTCCTGAACGCCAATGGATTGTGTTTTACATATCCCCCCAGTACATCCATTCTTTTTGGAGATCAGTACTCTAGCTTATTAGAGAGCATCAGTGGCTGAATAGGAATAAAGAAAATCATCTAGGAAGGAAATTTTAAGCTATCTAGAGAGCCTATTCGAAGTGAGAAGTGGACAATGAACTCCAAGTGAAAGTATATTAACTGCTACAAATTCTCTCAGCACAGCAAAGTTCTAAGAAGTGTTGGTGTGGGAGATCAAAATTGGCCACCTCAAAAGATATCTCTTTACCTTGACTTTTTCTCTGAGGGACATTTGACTTCCCCCACTAACTGCCTAAACAAATTTAACTCTGTGGATGGCTAGACTTGCAGGGTCCTTGCTAAGCCCATTCTTATCAAAGTTCTGTTTACCAAACATTTACATTTGTAAAGGTATCTCCCTCTCTGTACTGGGAAGAGGGGGGATGCCCTTATCTCTGGAAATTCTTATCTATATGGAAGGAAAGGACTTAAATCTGCTACTCTTGATTGCTGCACTATCTGGTAATCCCCCATAGCTGCCTCTTCCCCTACCCCCAACATCTTCCTTTGTCTTTATCTAAATCTATTTAAGGTGAAAACCTGTATCACTTGTTGAGAAACTCAGCTTCCCTGGTTTCTCCCATGTATACATGTTATTAAACTTTATTTGATTTTCTCCTGCCTTTCAATCTCATGTCAATTTAATTTGTAGCCCAGCCAGAAAGGACCCAGAGTGGGTAGAGGATAGTTTTCCTCCCCTTCATTGGGAAATAGGAAGCAGGGAGAACTAAGAAGGGATAGAGTGTCTTTGAATTGGGGAGGCTATGCAACTTCTTCTCCTAGGTGAACATAGAGCTTAATGTTTAATGTAGATTTGCCTTAAGTAATCGTAAGCACATACGTTTTCAGACCACATAAGGTGGCAGAAAGCCACCTTAAAGCAATGTATCTTTATTAATTTCTAAGGCCTTGGTAGGAAAATAACTTTGGAAGCCCATGTAGGAGATTTAATCTCTAAACAAATTGATGGAAAAGTGGTACTGTAAATAAAAATAACTAAATAATAGAAATAATAACAAGGACTATGATTTATGACTCTGTCACTCCCTCCCTTCATCTAAAATTTTAACAAATATTTATAAAGCTTCTACTACTTATATTCCATCTATTAAAGAACGAATTAGGAGACCCTGTCAAGAGATAACATTCCTTCCGTGAAGGACAGGAAGAAAGAATTTAGCAGGAGCCTTGCTGTCTAATGCAAGAATGCTCTATACTGCAATCTGAAAGGGAACAGAAGAATACGCCTGGACTTCCTCACAAGGAGTGAAAAAAGTTCTCAAAGAATGACTATGTTAGAAATGATTTCTATATTGGGTAGGAGGGAGACTAGATATTCTCTGAAGTTCCTTGCAAACCCACCATATACGATTACAATTTAATAAGGCAATTTAGTATATATCAAAGCACCAATACATGAAAATAACCATGAAAAATGATTTTATCTTCAGCGAGTTAAGAAAAGGTAAATGAGTCTTATTTTTTTCTAGAAGCATAACTAAAGCCTTCAAAATAAGATCATGCTGTATAAGTCAAACACTGAAAAGTTGCTAAAAGTATTTAAAAACTAAGATCAATAAGCATTGTATAGAGATATTTTTTAAATAGCAGCCTAATGATAATGAAATAAATAATTGATCTATAACAGCATCATTACATTGTTGAGAATGTAGTTACTTCTTTTAAAAATAAAATCTAACCTAAAACTTTTTCTATTTATTTTCATGTTACCAGTACTGTCGGTTTCCATGTAATTTAACTTAGTAACAGGATGTCAAGACTTGATATTTTTACTCAAAATGAAAGAAAGAAATATATTTTGATTGGTAACCAACTTTACTTCAAGATATAAAAAAGAGTATAAAGCACAGCTAGCTATTTCTTAGAGCACATAGTACATTATTGAGAAAACAATGTTTTCAATGGCTTAACTGACACACCAACCTTCTAGACTCAACCTCTCTATGTAGCCTCACTTGCCCCTCCAGGAATTCTTATCAGTAAAAAGGCGTCTATCGTTTTCTACGTTCACTTATTCAAGTAGTTTTTCTCCCAGAAAAATTGTCAAGAAAAATGAAATCATTAATTCCAAAAGCATCAAGTTTTTTATTCATGTGTAAAAACTTGTCAACAGCAAAAAAAAAAACAACAAAAAAATTGTTGAGATGATAGTGTAGCCTTTTCTGAGTTAACCAGAGAATTCTTTTCTCTATTAAAGATAAAACTCCAACACAACTCTATCAATAAAGTAAGCTACAAACTTGCTTAAATATTCTTCAAATTCCTGATAACTGGCCAGGAAGCTCAGCTGAGAAATAATCTGAGAATAAAATACTCAAATGTTTCTCACATTCTTTGGTGTTGAGGAAAGATAAAAACACTAAATCTGGAACATAAAGGAGTGGTTAAGGGGACCTTCCCTTCCATTTTAGCTCTATCAGCTCAGAAAGTTGGGGGAGGTAAATAAAATAAAATTAAACAAAAATAGTCAATCAAGAAATAAATTCAATAATTTGAGAGACTTTTATCATCTTAAAAAGTTAAGTATTTTGGGGGGCTGGCCTGGTGGCGCAGCAGTTAAGTATATGTGTTCCGCTTTAGTGGCCTGGGGTTCGTGGGTTCGGATACGGGGCGTGCACCGATGCACCACTTATCAAGCCATGCTGTGGCGGCCTCCCATGTAAAGTAGAGGAAGATGGGCACCAATGTTAGCCCAGGGCCAGTCTTCCTCAGCAAAAAGAGGAGGATTGGCATGGATGTTAGCTTAGGGCTAGTCTTCCTCACAAAAAAAAAAGAAAGTAAGTATTTTTCTTCAAAGGTTTGAGTAAGCAGAAACCTAAGTTATGTGTGTGCATAAAAGCATAGATGGGAATGCAGCATTTCCTGCAGGTTTTTATGATGGCATTCTAATGGTGCTTAGACTAGTAACCCATGTGTGGTCTCAGAAGCTAAGTGACTGGAGGTCACTCCAGGATGGTAGGGTAATATAGCTGTGATATCCGTCATCCAACTGAAGTTTAAGCTAGATTTAACACTCTAGTTATGGATATCCTCTTCCTCCCTTGCAGTTCAAAGTGTATCCCTCTCCAAAAGACAACACAAAGTAAATGATGCTTAAGAAGCTGATTCTGGGCCCAGTGGTATAGTCTCTTTGATGATATGGAATGATGAAATATAAAGCATAGTCATTAATTTTACAGAATATAGAGAAATAATATCTTAGTAAGAAGAGGTAGAAATTGTAGAGGAATAGGATGAGTACCTTTTAGCACCATTTCCAGCTTTTTGCCTCTGTAGTTTGTGTTAAAAACGCATTTGATTTAAAGGAGCATAATTTTTAACGACTTTGATAAATGAAAACATATATTATTTGAGAAATAGTCCACATAAAATAAATATTCAATAAAATAATTTATATTATGAACATTTGATATAAATTTTAAAAGTATTTCCTGTCACTATTTTGATTCTTAAGAATCATTGTGCTTATGTTAAACTTCCTAAGTATATGACTGGTATGATACATAAAAATAAATGATACAAAACTGAAACACCCACTGCTATTAACATTTCTCATTTGTTTTCAATAACATTTATTTTTGTTTTCATATCCCTACCTTCTGTCTGGAAGAAAGTAAATTTTAACATAAGGATTCCTTGGCCTCCCATCTTCCCTGGAAGGGAGATCCTTTGCTCCCAAAATTGTAACTATTAATTGGTGACCAACCTTGTCAAACCATAGTTTTATCTGAAAAGCAAAAATATTCATTTATCAGCTTAAACATTTACTACCACAATATATTGTTTACATTCCCAATCTTTGCCCCATTCTCTTACACTAATATTAGCAAAGAATATAAATTTCACTTAGTAAATTATGGTTAAAATAAAAGGATATACTATAATAACTTCAATGAATAGAGGAATTAATTCAGATATTTTGTTTGATTGATAAATCACTTGAGCTGTTTGTTATCCTAATCTGATTGCTTATTAACATGCACATAATAATTGCACTGTCATAACTAAAGACTTTACCCACAATGATTGCTCTGTGTCTGTCTTTATGCAAGAATCACTGTAATTCATTTTGGTTCCCCTACAATAGTGAGTTCAGAATAAGTGCTTAAAATGCATCAAATAGATAACTTGTTTATATGGCATTGATAGGGAATTTTTAAGCAAATGCTTTATGTTACTCCACAGCCAAAAACATTTCAAAGATTATAAGCAAGGGACAATTATTAATTGCTTTAGTCAACAGACTCCTTAAGTTTGTATTTAAAACTATAATAAATTCATCTTTTAAAATTTTTCTTACACAGACATAAAAGTCTCTTTTTCGTTTGTGAAGCAAATGTATCACATCCTTAAAATAATAAGGGTCTATTTTATAATTTGAGATGAGAAAAGGTGAATAACTTCCCTATGCCATAATTAGGGATTGGAACTTCACATCCAGCTGTTGAATTCATTTGATTTAACAACTGTCACCTCCCACACACATACCTCACACTCCCACACCTAGCTAGTTGACTCTACCATGTCAGGATCTATGATAACTATGGCTCTGACTCACATTTTGGTTAAGAACTCAGCACATCTCTGATCACTATCTGAAAACCAAAACTGAATCAGAAATTTGGAATTTGGAAATAAAATTGTATTTATATAATATATATATTTATGGTTTATACATATATTTTAGTGGTTTAATTTTTTCCTTTAATTTGGGTGTACAATATCTGTACATTTTAAAAATTTAGCAGCAGTTTAAAAAATTTAAACATACATCTCACATCAGTCTTTCCCTCTCCTCTCCAAAGCAGACAGTCAGGTCTGGGCCAGGCTCCAGGGATATATAAATAAATATATATCAAACACATAAAAATCACATAAATAAATGTTTACATATGATATACTGGTAGTTCAGTTCCAATTCTAACATGGCTTTGATAAGTCTGTCACTTTGTATCTTTGTAGAATGAGAGGCTGAGCGAGACTTTTGAGTCAGAAGAGGAAGACTAATGGCCAGAAGAGTATATAAAATTATTTATATGCTTTTCTTTTTTGTCATATGGAATTTGCCCTCTTATAAAAATAATAGTAAGAAATATTTAAATTTTTAAAATTATTATTACTACTCTTTATGTTAAGTCTTTACGTTTAATGCAGGTATTATCTTGCTGTAACAAAAAGCTTTCCTATTAGAGCTGCTAAGTACAAACAGACTCTAAACACGTGTTTCTTAAACTGTGGTTCACAAACCTCCTGCATCAGTCTTATCTGGCTTATTTGTCAAAAAGTTACAAATTGCTGTGGCCCACTTCTCACCTACTGAATCAGAAAAGGGTCCGGGAATTTGCATTTTAACAAGTTTTCAGGTGATTCTCAAAGGGCACTAAAGTTTGAGAACCACTTTCCTTAGACCAGGGGATCAACAACATGAAAAAAAAGCTTCTAACATTTGAATGGGAAAAAAGTTCAGATATTTGCTTGCCTAGCAATATTAGAACACAGATACAGATGAGGATAAGTGGAAAAAAATAGACTAAACTATTCTTCTGGCAAAAAACATGAGGGGAAGACAGAAAAAAGTAAGAAATACAAGAGTGTCTCCTATACAGTATGAAATGGAGATGTCAGATAGCATCACGGTTCCTCTAAAATGTGTGACTAAAACTAGATTAATTTCTGATATTCTCTGTTTTCTATAGCAATAAAAAAGCTTATGGCTTTATTTTTCCATGATATTAAAAATCCTCTCTGAGGGTCATGACATGAATATTAGGCACTTCAAAGAGAAAAGGATTCTGAAAGGCTGAAACAATTTTTTTCCAATAAACTTTACACTTGAGAAACAAAGAAACAATAATTATTACTATTAGACTAAGCTCCTAATTTTTGGAGCAAATTATTGATTTCTGTGAGTTTTTTTGAGGGATTGAGACTAACCACTTGTCATCTCCACAGGCAATATTTTTGCTCCTTTAATAAAAATCATTACAGCTAAATAATTGAGATATATATTTCAAATGCTTGATAAGGAGTATTCTTTTTAGATTTTCTTATGCCATGGAAAACCAAAAATATCACTTATTAATAATATTCATTTCTCACACAAACATCTTAGGCATATGGCTTTCAAATTTTCACAATAATACTTTACAGTTTATTAAATTATAATTTACAAATATATAAAAGTTATAATAATATAGCTATGAAACAGGTACATTTTAATTTTACTTACTTTTCAACCAAAATTACACTTTTTAATAAACTGTCTTAAACTGGTCATTTGATCAATAGCTCTAATTTTCATTTTATATTACAGGAATGGCATTGAAGTTTTTAATAGATATCCAGTTCACATTATCAAAACAGAATTATTTTATTAGCTAGATTATTTTGCCACATTCCTAAATTTCTTATCTGTGCTTTTTAAACAAATGGTTAAATATCTGCTGATTCTCCAAAATATAACAAATGTATTTCCACAATTCTAGATATGACATACTTCTTATTTTACCTCAATTTCATCAATAAAAATCTTGGTATCATTTTAACTATTTTAATATAATTATCACTACAGCTTTATGATGTAACCATTTTTAAATTTCCTAAGCATAACCTGAGCAGCACAAGGAAATAGTTTACACTATATATTAACTAGACCAACTTTAATTTTTAAAATTTAAACTAAATTAGTGTTATTCAAAACCAACAACAAAAAAAACCATGCAGCAAAGCAAGGAAAGCATAATACTACTTTTAAAAATAAAAACTATATTGACATTACTTTACCATAGAAGGGTTTCCTAATGAAAAGAGGCAAACAACTTGTACCCAAGTATGAAAGTAAAATCAAATGGAATTGTAATTACAAAATGTAAACAAACCCAACACATTCTATTTGGATTGTGATTTTGTTCTTTCAAAGTAATATACTTTCCAAAAGTTGAACCTTATATATAATATGCATAAAATTCATATTTTAGATAAGGTACAAATTTATTTGCCAATCTCCTCAAGGAGTTATTGCTTGGAAAATGCAAGAGAATGTAGACGTTAAGTGATATAATGAATGATTTAAAGAGACAGCAACCTTAGTGTAATAAAGGAAGATATCAACAATAAACTTAGCTATTTCTGTCAATGTTACATACAAAAGTAGAATCTACATATAAAAGTAGAATCTACATTAAATGCCACTCTGAAACCTATGAGTTTTAGTACTCAGTTCATCATATAAAATCACTAACAAAGATTGTCTCTTTAAATTTTTATTGCATTTTAATCCCCATGCAAAATTTTACAAGCTGGCTCATAAAATGATTTGATAGTCAATAATATGGTTTGGAACAACATACCAAAAAAACGTTTTCCTACTACGCATTTTCCAAAAACATACAAATTAGGGTTAAAACACAACTTTAGTTTCTATCAGGCAGACAAGGCCTTTACCTGAACCCTAGGAACAAAAGGCGTTGTTCTTCTACTAAGGCTTTGGCTCTGGTAAGCAAAATTAAAGAAAAAAGCAATAAAACAAAACCAAAAAGGACAACACGCTGGAACTAAAAGACCAAAAGTAAAAACAGACACATATAACTATCCCTTAAATATTATTTTTCCATGACAATACATATCTAAATTAAGTACTTCAATGTAATGAATAAAGTAATTTTGCCAAAATGCTAAAATAGATAAAAACTATATAAAATCTTAGAAATTTTAAACCAGATTTTAAGTAATCAATGTAAGAGGAATTAAGACCAAAGGTAAAATAACATATTTGGGCTCATACATTCTGAAAGAATGAGTGTAAACATAACCCAAGAGTCAAGAAATTTCAGGTTTCACCTTAAACACACTACATAGAAAAAAATGATAGTCCAAGAAGAAGTTAGATGAAAATGCATTATGGAATTATTAGTGAAAAGTCATCTGTAGAAGTAATTGTGTGACTTCTCCAAAATGATGTCTAACAAAAGTCTAAAAAACATTAGCTAAGCCGGCTTTAGCCTTTCTTAAAAGAATAAACACAGTAAAATAAAAGTGTGCGGGAATGTACTGGATTAATTAGTTGATTCATACTTTAAGAATCTATACCAGATTCTAGTATTTAAACAGCATTTTCAGACATTTATTATGTACCATTTGAGTTAACACTGTTTATTGCTAATCACACTTATTAATGACAACATCTCATTTCTTTATATTTTTCCAAGCCTTTATTGACAGTTTATTGCAAGTTTATTGCCTCCAACAATGCTAGGAGGTGGCTGCTATTATCTCCAATTTGTAGATGAAGCAACAGAGACATAAAAAAACACTAGCTACACTTGCGAGCTCAAACAAAAAGATAGTAAAGAAGTAGAAAATAGAGCTCAGTTCTGATTAAATCAAATCAAATCTAATTAAATTTCAAATTCTTAGAATCAAATCAAATTTCCTCTCTCTTCTGACTTATTTTGTTTTCATTTTGAAACAGTTTCCAAAAGACACCACAATAATCAGAATTCTGTGCTTTTAGTAAGGCCTGCCAACAGTTAAATCAGGAACAAAATCAGATGCATATCTCTGGGTGTGGAAATGGACTTCAAGGTATTTAACTCTACTTCTTTCACCAAGATTCCATTCCATTCCTCACATTTCTCGTGGATGTCTCCCCTGTCTAATTCAAAGAGTTGTAGATGGTTAAAGGCTTCAGACTTTTCCACTGCTATATGGAAACAGGTAATAGGTACTAGGAGGACTGTTGCCCAATTCAACCATCATCAGACAGACACTGTTTAAGACATAAAACTAAAACCCAAAGGAAAGCAGATCTTAAAAGCAGACTATCGTTCAATCATATGAGTCATCTTTCTCTCTCTCCAAAAACCAAAGCAGTCTCAAATCTAAGCTGTCTTCCTTTTTGTGTTGAGACATTTCCAAAGGAAGACAGAAATGCTTAGATATGGCATGTGCTACTGAGATCTGTCTGCATAATCCTAGGTGGAAAATTTTCTGGCAAATGGTGAAAGGAGGTATGAAACTCACAGAGATTAACTAGGCATACTGAAAGAAGGGACACCATTTAGAAATAAATTTTATTTTCCTTGCCCTCTCACCTGTTCTACTGTTTTAGACCAAAAATGTCAAGGTAATGGAAGATTTTTGCAAGTAAATATGACTTCATAAAATAAAGATTTACTCTAAAAAGAATAGTACTTTGAAATAAATTAATCCTTAAAGGCAAACATTTTTCTATCTTCTAAAATGATCTCAAATGAACAACTCACAGATTTCTGAAATCAATTGTCTAAAATCTATGGCAATTTAAACGTAATTTTCACCTATAAGTTTATACATTAAATTTGGCTATAAAAACATATTTTTATTAGTTTTTTTTAATTGAGGTGAGATTCAAATAACGTACAATTAGCATTTTCAAGTGCACAATTCGGTGGCTTTTAGGGTATTCACAATGCTGTGCAACCACCACCTCTCTCTAGTTTCAAAACTTTTTCATCACCCTAGTCCCTATTAAGTAATCACTCCCCATTCCCCTATTGCCCCAGCTCCTGGCAACTACTAAGCTGCTTTCTGTCTTTATGGATTTTGGATATTTCATATAGGAAAGGTGAAGTATTGTGTATCTCATTGCAATTTGTAGTTAATATTAATTCATTTATTTTAAGCATGAAATATCTGATAATATCTATAACATAAGCCTCATACAAATGAAGAATTTGAATTTGTACACTGCAATTTATTTTGCATTTTTAATGTCACTTCCCACTATATGCTGCACTACTCCTTTTAGGACATTCCTTTTATGCAATGCTTCTGGAATAACAAGGTTGTGACAATGAGGTATAAAAGATAAAAGCTCAAAGAAAAAACTTTCATTTACAAAAGTTTTAAGAAGGTTATAGAGTTTCTAAGGAGATATAAAGGATACATACCTATTCTTCAGTTACTCATTCCCCTTAAATGGGCATATAAAATGGATATGTACAATATTTACAAACTCATCACTAAAAATGGAGTTAGAAGAATATTAAAACAAAGTAACTTAGGGAAACATTGCAACCATAAATCAACCATAGACTCTGAAGTAAAATAAAACATGACTGTCAGTAAGGATCAATGTGTTCCTATAGATAGAAAGAATTCTGAGCTATTTCTCACTTTTAGAAGAGTTAAAGGTTATATTTTATTTTAACATTCTATCAAAAAACTAGCCAAAGACTGCAAAATAATTTTAAAATATTAAGAGGATTACAGAAGTAATTCTCTAAAGAAGGAAACTGCTAAACTATGGAAAAACACAAATTTAAAAAAGAATCAAAATGTGGGAGTGGTGACACTGAAAAGGCTAACATACAGTCCAGGTGTCATAAACCTGAGCTCATACCGGTTTTCTCACCAAAAACATTAATGGAACTTTCATAGTTATGCCCTAGAATAATAACAAGGAGCAGCACAATTCAAGCATGGAGAGGAAATAGATTGGATAAATTTTTTAAAATCATCAATAGCCTTGAGCATGAAAGTTTAACCAACAATTTGCATTATATGCGTATTTTCTATTTGCGAAAATATCAGTCCATGAACCGACATAAATATACTACGAAGGTCAGCTCACACACTATACAAATTGTCTTTGTTCTCAGCATTAGAAATGTCATGATTTTGCAAGTGAGTTATGGGCCCAGGTAAATCTCACCAAAAGCAAAACTGCCCAAAGATAAAACAGAAGGCTACGGGAATTGTAATGTTGCCTTGCGACTCCCTACGGGCTTTCCTGAAGGGTGATATATGTGGACACGTATTTTTTCAACCTCTACATCATTAGAGCAAACCAAAATTGTCTCTAGTTGGCAGAAATAGGGTTAAATATTTAAATATAAGAGGAAATACTGTATCCAGAAGCATATCTTGCTCATGTTTTCCTGCATGCAAAGAATGAATGAATATAAAATTAAGTTTCATGAGGATAAAATCTATGTCTATCTTATTCGCTGTTGAATTCCCAGCTACTAGTATTATGGCTGACCTGGGGTCAGAACTTAACATCTATTTCTTGAATAAATAATTGGAGTTTAATTTGGTAAAAACATTTTGAAGGAAAACTTGGGCAACAGATTTCAAGAATCTTAAACTTATTCTTTTTTCTTTTATATTGTAATTTTACTTCTGGAAAGTTATCCTCACAAAAGAATTTTGTTCTAAGAAAATATGCAAGATTTATATTCAAGGATTTCCATGGCATCATTATCTACAATAATATAAATTAGAAACAAGCAAGATATCCTATAATAGCAAATTATGCTAAAATGGAGTATTAAATAGCTATTGTTAAAGAAATTTTTAAAGAAAAAGTTTAAAGAAAAAAGTACAATATATTACTAAGTGAAAAAGCATACACAGATTTATTACAGTTTTGTTAAAAATTTAGATGTATGTGAATGGTTATATTTTCATCTCAGGATTATAGGTGATTTCTATTTTTATCTGTACACTCTAGATTTACCACAATGAATATACATTATATTTATAAATATTATCTTACTGGAACATATCCCTTCCAAGTCATAAGAAAATGGTAAAATGCTACACATTTTAAATTACAATTACATGGATTTTAAACCAACATAATTTATAAATCTAAATATTATAACTTTATACGATTACACACACATTTAGAAGTGAAACTTTTAAGTTTATATTTCCCCCAAAATATCTAACAGTCTTACCTTTCTACCATATTCATTTTGAACCATGAGGAAAAACAGTTCAATCTGAAATTTATCTAAATGCCTGCACTATGCTCCTCACCCTCCCCTCCTAGTCCCATTTCTAACAGGGCCTTGGGATTCCAAATGAGGTAACAAAGTGGTACTTACTTATTACAGAAGTCTAATAATAATTAGTCTCCCACTCCCTCTTCCAACTGAAGCCGACTACACACACACACACACACACACACAGATTTATGTACAAGCATCATTCAGCCTCCCAGAGCATTATTTAAAGATAAACTAATTAAATAGAGCCATAAAAAAAAAAACAGCTAACTATTATTAGTACTTTCTAAAATGGTGGAAGAAAATACATACACATTTGTAACCATAAATGACAACATCTGTGCTGTCAATATATGTAAGAGAATAAGTAGAAAGACACTACTTATTGTGGAAAATGGAAAAAAGACCACTGTCCTCAAATGAAAAAGTTCACTCTGTTTATGAAAGAGAAAGGAAAAGAAAATAATAAAGAGAAGAAACTTATTTTAGTAAGACATTTACAATCTCCTAATAATATTTCATCCTCTTTCTTGCATAACATTTCTGTTATCGTCACCTTTGTGATCAAAATAGTGCTAGAACAAACATGGCTAATGACTTTTTCAGTAATTTTTAAAATGTTAATTTTGCATATACTTCCTATATCTCTTTTTAATTAACAAAAGTCCTTTAGTAAAAATCAAATACCTCCTCTTCCCCGCTCCCAAGAAAGGAGAAATTTCATACCTGATTTAACAAAAAGCTTTTTCTATTACTCTTAAAATATTAGCCCAAGAATAGTTTAGTTTTTAATTATAACATTTTTTATCCAAAATTCAATGTCTGAATTTTGAGAATCTAAATATGTCTTAACACTCATAAATTTTCAAGTTTAGCAATTCATTGGCATTATTGTCAATATTAACCTGCATATTTCTAAAATGTAACTGGATAAATTTTAAAATTTTAACATTTTAAAGTGGTTTAAAAGGGGAATGGCAACTGAAGAAATTAATAAAAAGTGAAGGCTTAAATTTGCAAAGCTCTTCCAATATGGACGTAAAATGCATAACTGAAATTTAACTTTCATTATAAAATGTTCAAATTAGGGATCACTTAATATGAAATTATCTCGTGTACTCAGTAATCTATTATATATTTCCCCATTTACTTTTGCCTGTTGACAAAAGCATTTCAAGTATCACTACATTTCAGAGCAATATTCACACCCAATGAGTACTATGAAATTCACCCCAAATTTCCTTAAGGTTGAAAAGCAGGGAAGAATATATAAATATTTACTTTTATCTTAAATATACCATCTTTGTACAGTGCAGCATTTTTCTCTTAAAAGTCTATGACAAACTATAGTCATTTTAAGGTATTGAGCAAAAATCATGACCTTGAATTTTGGAATAAAATTACTAACATAAAAAAGGTTTTAGATACGTTTACAAATTCTAACTCTCATTAAATTCCAGAAAACCTAACTCTAATAAAGAAAGCACTATGCTAAGTAATTAAAATTGAATTTCAATGAATTAAAAGTACTAAGAATGAGAAAGTTGATGGTTAAAAGCACAAGTATATTCTAAGAAGAACTTGTTTATAAAAAACTGGCATCACATGGTAAAAACACTACTTGATATTCCAAAAAGAGAAATTAATTTAGTGATTACATACTGAAAGTTGTCCAGATAAGAACTGTGGAACATCCCTCAACGCGCCAGGACTCATGGGAGAGGTAACAGAAATAGAAGGACGATCCATTTTTTGAGATTCAAATGAGCTAGAACCTGAAATGGTAATTATACATAAAGAATAATAACAATGGCTCTTCACTAGTATCTAATAATATTCATCATATATCTTTTAAATTATTTTTTAAATGTCCACAAAACGTCATTATATAAACCATTTTCTTAGCCACAATGTTCCAAATATACTTAGAGCGTTTTTATTTTAAGCTAAATGGGGGTTAGGGATTCTCTTAAGACCAAGGGTGAATCATTTTCTCATTTTCTATGCCAATTATAGTAGAGATAGAACTCTACCTCGGGACTTAGCTACTTTGTCTGTTACGTGTGATAAACTCGTATCTTGCAATAATATATTAAGAAAATTTTAAAATAAAAACTTAGAGAAGAAAAAACAAAATCTAAATCAATAAAGCAACTTGAAGATGGTATAAACTTGTAATGCTAAAAACATAAGTACTAGAATGTTAATTATGAAATGTTTTCAGGAAGTGACTTTTTAACCATATCTGAAAGAATATAATAAATTAGAAAGGTAGAAAGTGAGGAGCTATGAAAAAAGATGCAGAAGAGCAGAAAAAGCAGAACCACAGTACCCAGAAGTTATATGTATGAATTTATTTCTATGGAGGGGAAGGGACAAATTGTAACATGAAGAAAAACAGGGCTACTGGGATACTGGGGGAATTAAGTGCCTGGAATTCTGTGCTATGCATTTTGGCATTAATAAAGTATCTATGCTAAGCTCTTATGAGTGAGGTAATAAAATTGCATATGAGGAAGATGAAGTATAGATTGAATTGAGCAAGATGGAAAACAGTTAAGAACAAGTGGAATTCAATAAAATAATAATAGGAAAAGTTGCAAAAACGGAATGGAAAGAAAGAATTCAGACGATATCACAAAATAAGAAAATGAAGACTCAGAAACTAACTAGATATGAGAGACAAAGGGAAGAGAGGGGAAAACATTAAGATTTCAAGTCTTGTAACCAGACATGGGGTCGAGAAAGTCCCCTAAGTGTCTGTCTTGTTCTGTGCACTGGACAGTGCTGACATTCCGTGGGATATAGAATACTGGAGAGAAGTCTTATGTTAGAGGGAAGGGGTGGAGAAATTAACTTGGAACTCAGTGATCCTGTGACACCTCCAAGGGGAAGATGTAAAGCAGGTAACTGGACATATGGATGAGATAAAATGTTGAGTAGACATTACTGTTAGAAATTAAACTGTCAAGTGTCTCCCTAACTGGAGGCGCAAGGATACAATTCACCTCTAAAGACAGTATAGTATAGTGTAAAATGAAAGGGGAAGCTCCAAGTCTTGGGATCAGAAGTAATGATGATACCTTTTACAGTATTTAGAAATGGAAAGAATGCGGACATTATGGTAAGAAATTAGCTCAGTTTTATACATGTTAAGCTTCAAGTAACAGGAAGACACTTAACAGAACATATTCTTTAAAAATTCAGGGATGAAGGGACAATAATAGAGCATTTTGATAATGTAAACTTAGAAGTCATATGGCAATTAAAACCATACGAAGAGAAGAATTTATTGAGGAATTAAGGACAGAGAGTTAAGAATTGGGCCTTGGGGAAACCTATTCTTCAACATTTAAAGAACAAAGGATTGAATCTAATTTGAGAAAGGACCCCTGTCTCCTCAGGAACAGTTTTTGGAATTGTAGCCTAAGGGCTTCTTAAACAGCTATAATAAGATAAAGGGTTCCACACTGCTCGCACAATATCTGAGTGCTGTAATATAAGTGAATAAAAATTTTACCTACATCATAGGATTATTGTAAGAACTAAGTGTGATAATGTAGGTTCAACATCAAGGACAGTTCCAGGACTCAATAAAACGGGAGCAATGATGATGATAATATCATTATATATAAAGATTATCATCATTATACTTGTATTTATTATGTCAGAGTTTCATGAGATCATAATATTGTTTTGGATAAAATGATTTAGCACCTATATCATTTAGCCAAAGGTACTAAATCAAATAGGCCATATGATGATATTTTAAAGTAAAGAGCTATGCCATTACAAAAGGATTTCACCTCTCTAGTAAAGATGTTTTAAAAATTTATACTCATAATTGTAATATAAAAGTAACAAAACATCTATTTTAATAATATATTCTCAATTATTGTGTGTATAGAGAGTCTGACCACTTCTCAACACCTTTATTGCTACCACCATGGTCTAAGTCACCATCATCTCACAACAAAAATGCTAAAACAGTTCTCTCACTGGTCTCTCTGCTTTCACTCAACTCCATTTAATCTATTTTCAACATAGTAACCAGATTTTAAAACATAAGTCTTTCCTCAAAACCATCATATGTAGCTCTTGGTTTCCGTCAGAGCAAAAGCCAAAGTCTTTACAGTGGCTTATAAAGTCTACACAATTTGGCTGCCCATTACCCTCTATCCTCCTACCTACCATTCTCCCCCTTGGTCACTCTATTGCAATCACCCTGGCCTCCTTCCTTTTCCTTAAATGCATCTTAGGCTTTCCTGCCTTAGAGCCACTGCACAGCTGGTCCCTGAACCAGGCAAGATTTTCGCCAGGTAGCCGCTCCTTCAAATCTTTGCTCCAATCCTTCCTTCTCAATATGGTCTATCCTGATCAACATATTTCAAATTGCAACCCACTACTCTCAATCAATCAAGAAACTTGGTTCACTGGAAAAAATTCATTTGTTTAACATCTGAAATAGCATTCAAACACAAGTAATAAAAAGTATTTATGTATCTAACATTATTTAAACTTATCTGTCTATTGTTCCATTACAGCTCTGATGTTAAATCAGAACAATTATCCAATGTTTGAAAAATATAAATTAGAATATACATAATTATTCACTAGATTGTCCCAAGTATTCCCTAACTTAACTGAAGGTTAGGTTACAAAGTAGTACATTTTAAAATCAGGGGAAATTTTGGTGGGGAAGAGGGTGAAACTTTGGAGAGTGATGCTATCTACGTTCATTATTTTTAATTGTGATGATGGTTTCACATGTATGTCAAAACTTATCTATGTGTGCATTTTAAATATGTACAGTTTATTGCAGTATACCTTAATAAAGCTATCTAAAGATACATAGTAGTTAAGACCGTGTGATTAAAAAAATTATCTTAAAATATTATAGATTTTTGTACTTTTTCTCACAATGACATGAAATAATGCCAAATTTTTCATCTTCATATGATTATATATTTAATAATAAGACCATTATATTTATTACTTTGTATTAATAGATAAAACACTTCATTTGACCCCGATGAATGACATTATTAATAACATTTTCTTCTAGAATAAATGAAACTTACTAGACTCCAGTTGTGCATGTGTGCTATCAGGTATCCTAGGTATATCCCTAAAATGACAGAAAAAGAAAACAAGAAATGGTTTCAATAATTAACACAACTGCTATTTTGATCATTATCAACCTATACTATAACAGGACAGTATAAAATGAACAAAATTGGATGCGACAGGAGCATTATATAAATAAGAAAAAAACAAGCGATAGTACTTTATTGCTAATAAAAGTGTTCTGGGCTAACCCCAACTACTTAAATTGCACTAAAATTCATATGCATCTACAGCAGACTTGTAAAAACATATACTTTATTTTCTATGTGCCTCACTAAACAATTATCCATTCTAACAAATTTCTGTATTCAACAAGATAAGTTTTATAGATGTATTTTAATTCTATTCTACTTATTATTTTTACCTGCTGTTGTTCTAAATCAATAACATTAAAATGCAAATAAAATATCAACAAAACAAAAATTAAAATATTCAGATTGTGACTGAAATTTTTTTAATGTAATAACTCCAGAGAAAAATGCAAACATGTTTCTTGCTGGGACTTACAAAATTACCTAGAAGCTTCATTTATGACAAAAAATATGTACTTTTTTTTTGAGATTTGCCAGGAGGGGTAGATATTAATGGTTAAGATCATACAGAGAATTACATAAAAGAATATTTAACATATTAAATAAAAATATGTTAGTGGATCCTTTAATACCAAGAAATATATTTGATTAATACACTAAGCTGATACAGTACAGTTTTATCATATTACAAAACTATGAGAAGACAAAATCAAAAATAGACACAATTTCATGAACCAGATTCATTACTTTTGAAAGGAACATTTCAAAAACTAAGTTATCATCTTTAGTCAATTTCTCCAGCATAAACAGAGATCAAAATAATACAGTCCAATCATTTCCTAAATGACTGAATACTGGGCATTAGTATTCTACAACAAAGAATAATTTTTATAGCCTCCACTCTAGAATGCTCTTATCCCGAACATACATTTAATAATTCACTGTCAGTTTATATTTTTATTGCTTTGTTTAGTTATAAGTGTATCTTTTACATTGGCTTATCTTTTACACAGCTTCTATAAAGGAAATACTGCTGTGATATTTAATGTATAATTCTCATAATACAGGAACAAAGGATTATATTTATGGCCAACTTTTGAAAATTGTCAATAAATTTTGTACCAAATTATAAAAGCCAAAGAGTAATTGGCATTTGCTTATTTTTTGTCTGTTTCCTTAAAGACGTTACATTTTTCCTTAAATTGTTCCCTCTATTTGGGAATAGTATGCCATTAGGCCTTCTCCTTCCTATGTTGAAATCTTCATTTTGAAAAGAATATGTAAAATTCATAGAATATAGTTCATCCTCATTTTTACAATGTAGAGAACCAATAGTTCACAACACTTTCTTTGAAAGTAATTGTTACTATAGTCCCCTTCTACTAAGGCTTTTAGCCATCTACTAAGCTATGAAAATAATAAAAATAATAAACACCTAATTATTTCTTCTTCTTTTGTAATTAACTGTATATTCTAGCACGATCAGATAAAGAGATGTCATGATTTTTGGTGAGGTGTTGTCCTCAAAATTGTCCTCAAAATAATTTATTTTTATACAGCAATCAGACACTTTTGGATTGCACATTACAAATCATTTAACACTAGTCAACTTTACACATGTATGAAACCAACTCACCCAATAGGCCTTGAAACAACAAGCTCCACTTGTGGTTCAGGTTTGGATTCCAGAATGATGTTATATACTTCTTCAAATGTGGCTCCTTGCAATAGCTTTCCATTCCATTCTAACACTTCATCACCTATTGTGTATGTCAGTAATGATAATCTTAGAAAGAAAAACTAATCCCAGAAACTGCACAAAAAACAAAAACAATCTTAAACTGCAATGAACTCCATAGAATAAAATCACCATTATGGAATAAGAAGCATACTGAAGAACAGCTCCAGTGGCATAAAATTTGATGACCAGTATGATTAGTATATTTCACCCAAAAAGGCAAGTGTCAGAGGAAAATTTACATAAAAGTTATCTTCTGTGGTTTCTACGATTTTCTCAGTGATGTCTTGTCCACGAATAGTTGTTAGTTGTTCTTGTGAGGGGGAGCCAAGTTAGGAACAACCTATGTGGCCATCTTGGTGGCGTCACTTCTGTCTCTGTGATTTCTTAATAAAAATTCTAATTCTGGAAACTATCAAGATCAGCTGCCTCTTTGAAGATTTTATGACTTTGAAGATTTTATTCTAGGTTTCTCAATATCTATGCAGCTGAGCACCTTGTCTAAACTCTCTTGTAAAAAACTTAATACTTAGCATCTCAACGAATTCCTCTCCAAGGCACTCAAAGATCTCTCCACTAGTATCCATTAGCAAAGAAATAAGGAGAGATATATTTTAGGAAATATGTATTTATCCATAAAATTTGTTTCCTAAATTATGTTGGAATTTTTTCAAAAGAAAAATGAAGGCTTATGGGAAACAAAATAGGTTAATACTAGATACAGACTAGGAACATTCACCTGCCAAAAAAATAAGATCAATAAATATAAAAATCTTTTTATCTAATGTGATTCAAGAAATAATAGTTACAACTTTCCATTAATGAATAAAGCTATAATTTAAGTTAAATGACCTCTTTGTTGCTGGTCAAATCACTTCTAAATGAGGATAACTTTTCATATCAACTCAGGTTTAACAGTTCAAATGTAAATAATCAAAGATAGAAACGTACCTGGTCTAAGATGTCCTACAGTGTCAGCTAAACTTCCTTTTTTTACTTTGGTAATAAATGCACAGAGCCGACCTGATTCAGTCATCTTTCCTCCTACAACCTGTTTAAAAGAGGAAAGTGTTAAAACAGGCATATTGTTAAAATGAACATAGTTGAAGATTCAAGTAAAAAATAACTAGACACTTTGCAGCTTTTAAAACTATAATTTAACATACTAAAAATAACCTTTTTTAATAATATAGTGTTATTATTAGGAACTGAGTACATGTTCCAAGAGTGAATTCTTTGCATATTCCAAATGTTTTATAATTTAATCCATTATTTGCTGAAAATTTTGCATAGCTTAGAAACAACTTAATTTGTAATTTTTATATTTATTACAGAATTCTTCTGTCATTTCTAAAAACATGTTATTACAGTATTATATAGTTATATTAAAACTTCTAGTCAGAGATTTCAAATATCAAAAAAATACAAATACTTGTTACTTTTACTATAATGATATCCTACTAAAATTTCCTTAGAAATCTTTTAGTCACATTGATAATGTGCATGATAATGATGGATTGTTTTCCTGAGAAAATTACAAAATTTAATTAATTTCATCAGAATTAATGTAAACTTTAGACCATGTGCATCCCAATTTTTCTATTTTTATGTTTCTATTAATATATATCTTTCAGAAAAAGAAAAAACAAATGTTCAAAATAATGCTATGGAGTCATATGTGTACCTGTTAAGACTGGCCTCTCACAAAATTAATGCTTTTATTCTCATCAACTGCCATTTAATAAATACATCAACTTTATAGCAAGTTAAGCAAATAATAGCAACTAACTTCATTGACTAAAATAGTTTTTTTCTCTTCTAAATTGAGTGAAAGATATCTGAATTGAAAAATTGTTAATTCCGGGGCCGCCCCGTGGCTTAGAGGTTAAGTGCGCATGCTCTGCTACTGGCAGCCCAGGTTCGGATGCCGGGCGCGCACCGACGCACCGCTTGTCCGGCCATGCTGAGGCGCCGTCCCACATACAGCAACTAGAAGGATGTGCAACTATGACATACAACTATCTACTGGGGCTTTGGGGAGAAAAAGGAGGAGGACTGGCAATAGATGTTAGCTCAGGGCAAATCTTCCTTAGCAAAAAGAGGAGGATTGGCATGGATGTTAGCTCAGAGCTGATCTTCCTCACAAAAGAACAAAACAAAAACAAAAACAAAATTGTTAATTCATTTTATTCCATATATTTCTTCCTAAATTGCAGTGAATTATACTCAGTTGTAGTTCAGTTAATATTAACTAATTATTCCTATGTTTGATTCTGAAAATTAAATATATAGATATTATGGACCTATGCCCTTAGGTTAATATTTAAAAGCTTTCTTGGCTTGATAAACTTTAATAGTAATAATTAATATTACTGACTATAATTATTATTATTGAAATCTTATAGAGTGCCAGGCCCTGTACTAAATGTTGGTATATTGCTTTACTTAATCTTATTATAACAATTCAGTAAGTATTATTATCTCCACTGCACAGATGAGGAGTCTGAGGCTAAGAAAAGTCTAAACTTCTCTAACTAGAAATCAAACCAAGACTTCCTAACCTTTATACTACACTGCTCTAACACTCTACTGGACACATCTGGATTTAAGTCCCACCTTCATCACCATCCTTGTTACTGTGGACAAGTTATAACACTTCTTGCAGCCTATTTCTTATCTGTTGTGAGTGTTAAGACAATAGATATAAAATGCTCAGATAAGTGCCAGACACATGGCAGCCACTCAATAAAGGTTAATTGCCCAATTCCATTTACACCAAAAGTTTTCTTTTTTTTTTAAAGATTTTTTTTTATTTATTCATTTTTTCCCCCCAAAGCCCCAGTAGATAGTTGTATGTCATAGGTTCACATCCTTCTAGTTGCTGTACGTGGGACTCGGCCTCGGGTTGGTCGGAGAAGTGGTGCCTTGGGGCGCGCCTGGGATCCGAACCCGGGCCGCCAGCATCAGAGCGCGCGCACTTAACCGCTAAGCCACGGAGCCGGCCCCAAAAGTTTTCTAATGTCTCTCACTTACTATATTCTACAGGACAACTTCTGTAGCAATGGCTTAACTCGAAAACATTTACTCTTTTCTCATTTCAGTTTTTGATTCCCCATACGGATGCACAAAAAACAAACAGAGCTCTATTTGGTGTACTTACCAAATAATTGTCTGGTGTTGTACAGTAAACTATAAATCAACATTTATGTTAAATCTCCTCACATAAGTATTTTTGAGTTTCCAGACTTCAAACAGTTTTCTCTCTCTTTATCTCTCACATACACACATACACACAAATACACACACAGACACACATTTTGCTACACTAATACAAAAATTATATTCCTATGTAATACATATATTACATTTTGCAAGTTTGCATATTCAGTAATTGAATAAAACTATGATTTTGATGGAATATAAACAGATAGAGACTTAAAGGACAAACTGTATAGGTAAAATGAGTTTGAGAGATGTATTTAGGATTCAAGTATATAATTCAATTTATATTTTCCAAAATTATATATACAAGTATTATTGCAGAATAACGGCAACTTCTTAAATAATATTTGGAAAATGAAAAAGTTTTGGATAATGAGTGCAAATATTTGGGAATTCTTGAAAATGAAAAGAAACCTCACTAAAGTGGTATAGTAGAAAGAGTTATTATATCTTTTGCTTTTCTGATAAATCGCAAAGGTGTATAGAGCCAAAATCTCATATATTTTATCACATACCTTCAAGCCAAGCATTGCTCCTGAATCTCGAGTTACACTTCCATCTTTCAGACGCTTATTTAATAAAATCCGACCAATTAAACGGTCTCCATCTTTAGATGGCTGCCACGTCACAGGGTGCTGACATATTGCATCAACAAAGAAAAAAAATCAATATTCTTTTATGACAAATGACTCCTTATTGTACAATCTCTCTAAACTTCAGATTTCCAAAGTGTTATGATTACACAAACCAGTTTACATTCAAAACATTGATCAAAAAGGCTTACTACATTATGCTTATAACCTCAATTTTATAATCTCAAGTTTTTTCAAAATCCAAATATTTCAAATTCTTACAGTGCTCTGACATAATACTGAAGTTATATATGTAATGCTACAAAATCTGAGAAATCCTGAAAATATATGCAAATTCTAATTTAATTATCTACATGCTGGAGATTAATTAAAAATTCACATGCAGAAAACACAGATTGAAATTCTAAGCAACTGAACTCATTTAAAAATGAGAATTTAATCTTCAAACACTTGTGGAAGACTTTGACAGACTTTATTAGAGTAAAAGTTAAAAGGTCAAATTATGTTAAAACATGAAATTTGAATCTATGATGAGAGCTTTCTTGAAATGGGTTTCTAGATTAAAATTATAAAAAAAAATACATAAACCCCAATAACTTTCCAGTTGAATCTGTATGGGAGAAATAGGCCTAATTGCAAGTGAGGAAAGATTACATTTTCGACTTTTTGGAAGTTCATTGATTCTTTCAGGTCTTTGATCTATTTAGTAAATTAATTTTATTAGATAATTCAATGGTAGTCATTGTTAAATAACTTTGAAAATATTAGGATTTATCTCTTTCTTAGGGCAAAACCAAGCCCTTTATAACTCATGATACCATTCCATTATGAATTATATGTCAAATAACAAAGTAAATGATTTGTGTAATCATAGTTTCACAGTTATCTAAAAGTAACATGCACATCTTCATGCAAAATTTAGCAGGCAAAAGACATGTTCCAGTCAATCACATCCATATGGCAAAAAGACTTCAAAAGTCTCACTACACTAAAAGCAAAAATAATAAACACCAAAGCAAATGGCAATGGTTCTAATACTAATTAATGCTACATTATAATGCTATGATGATAAAACAAAAGAGCAAAATGACAGTGAAAGGGAAAAAAGAAAAACAACTTTTTCTGTGCAAACAGACCCAATTATCTCCCTTTTGCCTGGGATTCAAACTATTAATAATTTAATTTTCATCCCAAGGAAAATATATGCAAGCAATCAAATAAGCCAATCCAAAAAATTCTTTATATTTGTGATTTATAATAACATTACAAAGTTCTCTCATGCGACCATAGACAAAACATTCCTTTGTTCCTAATTTTTTATTTCTTTTTTTTTTTTTTGGTATGCCGTCAAATAACAGAAACAGCAAAGCAAGCAAGAAGTATTTTGGTTTGTTTGTTTTGGTTTTGTTTTTCTTTTCTGCACCTTAGGAAATGCTACAGTGACCCTTGAAATGCCCTGTCCTTTAATTATGTTCTGTTTGAATGAGTGACAGAGAGCAAACGAAGACCAAATGAGCAGGTTAAAAGGCAGGCTCCACGATCTCAGTACCTTATCACTATGGCTATGCTCCTCGTTAAGGGTTGTGCTACTACACGTATCTACCCCAGAGTCCTTAATCTGAGGCTCAGACCATTCCAAATCCTCTTCCAAAGAGTGGCCACCAAAGTACATCATTTTCTTTTGTCTTTCAGACCTGGTGTTAGAGTCCGACAAAACTGCCTGCTCACTAGTTTTTCTTTTTCCCTTTTGACTGTCCCCTACAGGTGTGGGATAAAAAAAAAAAAAAAAGATACAAAAAAGAAAACATGCAAAAGTGTAAATAAAAAAAGGAAAAGTGAAATGATAACGGAAATTAAATAGTAAGGCTCCACATGTCTCACCAAAGACATTGGGGATGCCTCACTGCTATGCCAAGACGTATGGTCCAACCAGTTGTAATCCATGTCTCCTGTGAGAGTCAGACAGACAAAGAGTGTAGTAAAGGAGACAGCAAAAGAAAGGACAGACAAAGACATTATAAACATTTTAAACTGCGTGATCCTGTCTGGTTTCAAGAACTTCATCTGTAGCATTCACTATATACGCCAAGAGAAAGCTAAGATTCCAAATGAGTAAAATTTATAGAATGCAGAATATAAAGTACATGTACTTCAGACAGACCCTAGAGAACAAAAGTCCTGCAAGAAGAGAAACGGCTAACAATAAACAGGAATAGAAATGAAAAAATTATACATTCTGAAAAAGAAAAAGACTATCAGCTATGTCTGTTACTCATGCTTTTTTTTTCATGCTTGCCTACAGACATGAGTTTGTTCTCCAAAGATTAAAGAATATTTTAAAAATTAAACAGCAGCTTGCCAATAACCACTTTAATAAAAAGCCAAGTTAATTAAATTGTTGTTCCTGGAATGTAGTATAATGTTCTTTATAAACGTTGAAACCTCCAAAAAAATTCAGGTGGTTAAAAAAAAAGAATTGGTTACACAAAAGATAAATTTTGTATAAAAATGACAAAACAGATTCATTCAATTTCTACTAGTAAAAATAAAATAAACTGTACTTAAATATCCTGAATTACTTAAAATTATTTTTTGTTATAATAAGATTAAGTAAAGCAATATACCAACATTTAGTACAGGGCCTGGCACTCTATAAGATTTCAATAATAATAATTATAGTCAGTAATATTAATTATTATTATTAAAGTTTATCAAGCCAAGAAAGCTTTTAAATATTAACCTAAGGGCATAGGTCCATAATATCTATATATTTAATTTTCAGAATCAAACATAGGAATAATTAGTTAATATTAACTGAACTACAACTGAGTATAATTCACTGCAATTTAGGAAGAAATATATGGAATAAAATGAATTAACAATTTTGTTTTTGTTTTTGTTTTGTTCTTTTGTGAGGAAGATCAGCTCTGAGCTAACATCCATGCCAATCCTCCTCTTTTTGCTAAGGAAGATTTGCCCTGAGCTAACATCTATTGCCAGTCCTCCTCCTTTTTCTCCCCAAAGCCCCAGTAGATAGTTGTATGTCATAGTTGCACATCCTTCTAGTTGCTTCTTCCTCATTCTTTTAGGTTCAGACACACTAGTGTTTCATCAGTTCTTTTACAGTGTATTTGAAATATCAATAAAAATTGGCTCTGGGTTGGAAATCAGTAGAAACAGACAGCTTATAAGAGGAAGAAGATAAATGCTAAATGAGACTGGTGAGGCAGCACAAACCAGGTTAGAGAGGCCTTTTTATGCCATATTAAAGATTATGAATTTCATTCACTGAAGGATTTTAAGCAAGACGGTGACATGAATTGATTTACATTTTTAAAAGATGAATCTAAGTACTAAATAGAGATTGAGTGGGAAGATACCAAGAGTTAAAAGGCATTTGCAACAATCCATGGGACGGGAGATTATGGCTTGAACGAAGGTGATGGCAATAGACATGGTAAGAAAAGAGGAAACTGAGAGATATTTTGGAGGTAGAAATAAGAATGTTCAAAAAGACTGAAGAGGGCCGGCCTGGTGGCGCAAGCCATTAAATGCGCGTGCTCCGCTGTGGCAGCCTGGGGTTCACGGTTCGGATTCTGGGCGCGCACCGACGCACTGCTTGGCAAGCCATGCTGTGGCAGCGTCCCATATAAAGTGGAGGAAGATGGGCACGGATGTTAGCCCAGGGCCAGTCTTCCTCAGCAAAAAAAGAGGAGGATTGGCAGATGTTAGCACAGGGCTGATCTCCTCACACACAAAAAAAGGCTGAAGAGTCAAGGATAATTCCCAGGTTTCTCGGATTAACAAAAGACTAGAAGGAAAGACCATTTATGAGAGGGAGAAGACTGGAGAAAGAGCACCTTTTATTAAGGAAGGAGTAGGAAGGAATTACTCTATTTCATAGAATCTAAGATGTCACTGACTGTAAGATTCACAGATATCAAAATGATAAAAATATGCACCTTAGAATTTATTAAATATGGTGATTGATTTTGGATACATTATTTGAAATACCTATAAGTTATTCAAGTGAGCATATAAGAAATCAATTGGTTAAACTGTAATAAAGCTTAGGAGGAAGGTCTGAGCTGGAGACATAAATTGGGAATTATTAACATACAGACAGGAGTAAGTAGATCATTTAGGAACAGAAGGTAAAGTAAGATATGAAGAGGAATCAGAATGAATTCTAACATTTAGAGTTTGATTTGAAAAAAAAAAGAGAGAGAGAGAAAGACTGAGATAGAGCATGCAGAGAAAGAATAGAAAGAGGGAGGGAGATGGGGTCTCCAAACCAAATAGAGGAGAGTTTCCTAAACAGGAGAAGAAATCAACTGTATTGAATGATTTCTACAAATCAGGTAAGATAAGGAACTGAAAAGTGTGCATTTGATTTGGCAACACGAAGATCAGGAAGGATGTTAGAAACTGCACTCTGGATAGAATGATGAAAATTAAAATCAGACTGAAGTAACTGAAGAGTCAGAGGGAGACAGGAAGTAGAAAAATTGTGTGTAGATGAAGAGTTCACAAAGTGAAATCCCCAAAATAGCATAATCAACATCATCTGGAAACTTGTTAGAAATGCAAATTCTTAGGCACCACCCTAGACTTAATTAATCAGAAATTCTGTAGGTGAGGCCTAGCAATCTGTGTTTTAACAAGCCCACCAAGTCATTATGATCTCACTAATGTTTGAGAACCACTGGAAACAATTCTTTTAAGAAGTTTGTTTGTGAAAGATGATGAAGCTGTGCTAACACACACAAAATTCAATTTGTAGGGGAAAAAACACCAATTTTTAACCTGTGAACTAAAGAAGTGCTTCTCAATGTTCTTCATGGCACAGACAATTATAATTTTATGGCTACCCAAAAAGCTGAGAGTATTTGTAGCTCAGAAAACGTGTAACGCTTTCAAAATACATTATTGTTCCACAACAAAGCATTGATAAATCTCTGAATTGGATAAAATATAGTATGGAGACTGTAAATGAAAATTCTTGGCTAGGTTATGTGAAATTATGAGATTTCACCTCAAAATCTCTCTTCTCCTCCTATGCCTGCAGCCTACAAAAAAAGTGGTAATGTAGTTCTTTCCTCCATAAATAAAGGAAATCAGATGTTTAACCATTTGAAACTAAAGCGAAAATATTTGACTGACAAAAAAAGAGTGTCATATATAGTAGGCACTCAGTAAACATTTGTTGAATGAGTAAACATTAGTGTTAATATAAGAATTAAATAAGGTAATCAATGTAAAACATATAGAAAATAGTCCTAAACTTCTAGGACTATATTAGTATGTAGATAATAACACTTATCACTTAATATTCTTATTTTGTGTGGCATCAAAAGGCAGAACTAGGATAATAAAATATCCTTCTGTTAGTAGCAGTACAAAAATGTATTGCTGGGCTTTCTATTTCTAGAACAAGAAATAGAAGACACATTCATAGGAGGATTAAAAAAATTCTTCAAAAAATTTGCCAAATGTAACAAAGTGATAGATTTTCATTTAATCATCAAATCATTAAGGGAGGTACAAATCCTGATTCTTTTTTAGATTGATATGGTACAGTAGGTTAAAATATTAAACCTTAATAATAAATATGCCCCCAAGTGACCATTAAGAAGAGATAAAATAAGGGATGGGTAGACCTATGTATTAAATTACTGTTAAATATATGATAATAAAGTCAAACAAATTTATGTTAAAAAAAAAAAAAAGAAATAGAAGACACAAAAAGAACTAAATGAAAATTTTAGATCTTTTTGAAAAATAACTGAAATTAAAACAGCAAACAGATGGGTTCAACTACAGAATGGAGAGGACAGAGGAATGACAATGAACTTGAAAAAGAACAACAGAAATTACCCAATCTGAAAAACAGAGAGAAAATAGACTAAAAAATAAAATAAAATGAACAGAGCCTCGGGAGCTTGACGGATTATAACAAAAGTTATTGCAGTCCCAGAAGGAAAGGAGAAAGGAGATGGGGCTGAAAAAGTATTTGAAGAAATAATGACTGAAGGTTTCCCAAATTTACAAAGCACATAAGTAAGCCAACTGATTTAAGAAACTAGATAAACCCCCAATGAAAAAATACGCAAAGAAATCTGTTCCAAGACACATCATAATCAAACTAAAAACGAAAGACAAACTGTCTTGAAAGCAGAAAGAAAGAAACAAGACCTTACCTAATGGGAAAAAACAATTTGAATGACTGTGGATTTCTCATCAGAAACCTTGGAGGCCAGAAAGAAGTGACACAATATTTTTCAATTGCTGAAATAAAAGAAATGTCAACCCTGAATTTCAAATATGGTGAAATTTTCTTTCAGGAATGACTGAAAAAGACATTCTCAGAAAAAAGGAAACTAAGAGAATTTGTCACCAGCAGACCTACCCTAAAAGAATGACTGAAGGAAGTTCTAAAAACAAAAAGGAAAGAAAAAAGAAGGAACCTGAAATATCAAGAAGGAATAAAGAACATGGTAAGCAAAAATATGGGTAAATACAATAGACTTTCCTTTTCCTCTTGAGTTTTCTAACTTATGTTTGATGTTTTAAGCAAAAAGTATACATTGTCTCATGTGCTTTTCGACATACACAGAAATATTTAAGACAATTACATTAAAAACAGGGAAAGGTAAAAGAATTTAAAGTATGTAAGGTTTCTACATTTCACTCTAACTAGTAAAATATCAACACCAGTCGGATGCGATTAAGTTGTGCATACGTAATATATGACTTAGAGCAACCAAAAAAAAAAAAAAACTTTGCAAAGAAATACATTCAAAAACACTACAAATGAATCAAAATGCAATTCTAAAAAAATGTCCAAATAACCCATAGGAAGTCAAGAAAAAGAAAAGAGAGAAATAAAAAACAGAAGGAACAGAGAGAAAACAAAAAAGAAAATGGCAAACAATAAGAAAATGCTGAC